ACACGCCCTGACGAGGAGCCTCGACGTCGGGCTGGGCCCCTTGGGGGAACTCATCATAACTCATGAACTTACCACCTAGGAAGTCTGGGCTAACATCAAACTGAAAGTCAGCCGGGACCTCACAGAAGTGGTAAGCTTGCCTGACCGCGTGCTGGAAGCCGGCATCATGTTGAGAAAGGAATTGTTCAGTGGCCTCAGCCTCGTACTTGGCTGCGGCCTCCTTCAACAGAGCAATCTCGCCCGCAGCAGCAACAACATCGGCCTTCATCCTCTGCACGACCAACTTCAAGTCATCGGCCTCCCTCCTGTGGGCATCGGCCGCCCTCTTCAACTCCTCGGCTGATTCCGTAACCTTGGCATTGACATTTAAGGCCTCATTCACCGTCGCCTCGGCCTCCTTCAATCGGGTCTGGAGCCTTTCTGTCGAGACAACCGACCTCATCATGACATGCTTAGCCACGAGGGAGGTCCGAGCATCAAGCTCACAAAAGAGCTTGTACTCGGCCTCCGCGGACATGCCCTCCAAGTATTGCCGGCCCCCTCCGGTGGTGATGTCCAGATTGATAAGGTTCTCGGCCTGCACGTCCGAGGCTAGGAAGTTTGACCCAGCGACAACAGCGGGAATGGCGAAGGCGCCTCAACTTGACTGCTCCAAAGACAGTTGTTTCGGGCGCTTTGAGGAGGAGCTCGGGCATTCCGACTCTATATTTTAATCCGCAGCCCGCACCCGAGACGTACTGCCCTTCTTCTTGGGGTCGTCCAAAGGGATTAATACCTGACGAGGCTTATCCCGTTGTACCTTCAAGGCCGACCTTGCCGACGGCACCTGCCCACTTTCCTTGGCTTCTTTTGCCCTCTTGGCGAGCATAACGGTCACGTCCAACTTGCCTCCGGCCATTAAACCTGCAACAAAACAAATCTTAACATCAATTCAAAACACTTCTAAGCTACCGAAGCCTTACATACATACCTAGCAAAGCCATCTCAAAATGAGACGTCTCAAAAATGTCCAAGAGGCCTCGGATAGGCAAACCCTTCGGCAACTTGTCTAGGAGGTCGACAATCTCTCTGTCCTCGGCCGGGAGCTTTAACAGGGGCGTCGCCTCAAATCGCATCGGTAGCCTCGTCCAATAGAAGGGGAATAACAAAGAGTTCTCCTGATCATAAAAACAATTATTCATTTCCGACCCCCAACGAACTTTGAAAAACCCACTTTTAAACCCTTTATAAGAAGAGGTGAACGCCCGAAGAAACCCACGCTTCGGCACTCGGGCTAGCGAAACCCATTTAACCGGTTTGCTCGAATGACATATATAGTAATACAAAAAAGCTAGTGGTCGGGGAGTGAGGCCCAAGCACAAACATAAGTTCCGGAAAGCTTGCATGGCTGCCCAAGCATTCGGATGTAGCTGGGTTGGCGCCACATTCAATGTTCGGAGAACTCCCATTTGAAAGTCGTCGAATGGGAGCTTTATGTCGAGGTCCTCGAACCAACACATATATGCATAAAAGTAGTCGTCTTCATCGGGCTCCGACTCCAAGAATACAAAATTAGTGTTCGGCCCATCATCTTCGCACGCCTCGGCAAGAAGTGGAAACTCATCCTCGCCACTCCCGAAACATTTTTCTAAAGACACGAAGGTGTCTAATAACGACTGGTTGGACAACTTCGAGAAATATATCCCGACCTCTTCGTCCACCCACTCATAGTCGGGCATCTCTACCGTGTCATAGTCAATTTTGGCCTTAGCCCGACCACTAGGCCCAACCACGCCTTTACCCCGATCATCGCCAACCACCTCCACCCCGTCTCCACTGCCCTCGCCACCAGCAGTCTCGACAAGTGGCCCCCATTGGTCGCTTTGACCGAGACCTCGGGCATCCACCTCGGTAGCTCGTGCCAAAGCTAACGCCAATGACACCGACGACGATACCTCTACCACCTCGTCCCCACTATCACTCGGTTCGGGATGGTTAGATGGGAACACCACTTCACATTGTAAGGGAGGCAGCCTTGAAATCTCACTTGAACCTGACCCCTTTATATCAGACGTAGCACCCGACGCCTCTGACGATGTCCAGCTCCTGGCCGAGGAATAGCCCCTATCCATTTATTACCACAAAATATAAAATACAAAATTTTACCTTTGATCGGTAAGCTCGGCTAAAATCTTGAACCCAGAGACCTTGGAAAATTCACAGCAAGTGAATTCTCAAAACACCCCCCTATTTATAGGCAAGGTAAACGGGGGAGGTGAAAAGACGCCCCGGAACCACAGCCGTTTGATCTGGACCATCCAACGGTCCAGATTTAGTAACCGTTGAAGCCCGTAACCGCTACGGCCAACGTGGCAGGAACAATCACTGAGTCCTCGGCGATGGTCCCCAACGCTCAAGGTCTCGGCATGGACCCCCCTATCAACGCCTCGACTTAGACTACGTCTACAATCACCGAGTCCTCGGCGCTGGTCCCCAACGTTCAAGGTTTCGACATAGAACCCTCCAATTAACATCTCGGCTTAAAACTTCGCCCAGTGGTCAGACAGGCCGGCTCCATCAGGGTCTCGGCAAACACCTCAGTCGGGTGCCTCGTTATACCATTGTCATTATCCGTCCTCCCGAGTCAAAGCACAATACCTAAATACTTTTAGACCGTCTTCGTCTTTGACATCCTCAACGCTGCGGGGGTTGTATACCGTATGGGGCCATGGCCGACCTGACCGACCCGACCGAATACCCGAATCCAAGAATAACTGAATCCAATACCCGAACACACCGACCACTCGCAAAACAAAAATGGTCGGTTTGCTCGGCCGATCCACGGGACTCCACCAGTATGATTACGAAAGGATTAATTTAAGAAATAAGCCCGATTAGCCCCCTAATTTTCCGGGGCCCAGCTCCTAATCACGGCCCAATAAGAAACACTATAAATAGACCCCCTTTGAGGTATGTAACTAACTTTCAACTACCGCATTTATTACGCCGAGCACTTACTTGAGCGTTGGAGTGTCTTTGCAGGCACACCCCCCCGCTTCGGACTATTCGGATAGGATCGAGAAGACCGAGACCCAGACCCGACCCACGACAACAAGGATAATTGAAGTGTGTATCCTAACATAGGAACAAAACCAATCCAAACACTCTATAAAACAATTGCAAATCGTAGAAGTGCACCCAGACATGGTGAAAATAGCTACAAGCTTAAAAAAGAAACATGAGCTATGTTTTCTAAAGTAACATTGTGAAGAGCTAGAAGGCAAATAGTGAATGATTAATCTAGTCCAATATTTCCAATGAAATAAAGGCAAAAACTATTGGATTTTGAACTCTCTTCCTATATAAAGAATAAGCTTAAATGTGTAAGTTTATTATGTCTTACTTAACCAAGTAGAAAAAAGTCAGGTTAGAGTAGAGAGAATGACTCATTTTGAGAGAAAACAACAACAGAGAAAAGAGAAGAGAAAAAGTTTCGTTGTTAATTTCGCATGTCCACTAGGTAACATTTATTAAATTGCAATCGGATTTTTGATCATTGTTGATTCAGATTGATTTTTGAACAACACAAATTTGTATGACATGCATGCATTTCGTATTCAACAGTTGGATCGTCAAAAAGAAGTCTGAAGTGAGAGAAATGTATTTCACAGTAGCAACTCTACTATTGGGATTTTCCAATTTCTTATTTCTTATTTGTAAGCAATTGTATTTAGTTTACTTGAATTGATTGTAAACACTATTTGGTGCTCTCATTAGAGGCTTTCTTGTATCATTTATTGAACATAGTGAAGTTTTTTTTTTGGTTTGGACTACTCATAATTTATACATTTACATTGAAGAAATTTCCATAATAAAATCTTTGTCTCTTATGTGTTTGGTTATCTATTTTTGCTTTATTTTGTTGGTGCTCCTTATTGATTCTTGCAAGTAAGAAAATTTAATTTTCATTGTATTAGACTTTCTCCTATCACAACCTTCAAGGTACATGTTAATCCTAATTTTTTTTTTATTTTATAAAATCTTGTATATGAGACACATGCTTGTTTATGTGTTTTGTTTGATATAATAACATAAGTCATTACAAGAAATGTTACATATACTGATATACAAAAAATGTCATTATAAGTATAATATATATAGATATATATATTTATTTAACATATAATTACATACAATTTTAGTATTGATTTTAAATAAAATTTAACAATATATTTTGTGTGTCACTATAACAGTATAGTCTATGTTAACACTTTTTAACAATATACTAACATATATTATATTTATTGTGTGAGTAAAATTAGTTTTTAGTGACATATATTCACTGGATGCCAATTTTCTTGTAGTTAGTGGGTGATTCATTACACTTCAATTTTATAGTTAAATTAAATTAAACAAAAATAATTTGCTCCGGAAATAAAATATGTTAGGATAATTTGTCTATTTCCTACTTTTCATAGTTGTCAATTCGTTTATCCTGTAATGTACACAGTTTCCTTTTACTTCACTTGGATTACGACCGAAGATTTCACTCTCAATTTCTTTGAAATGAATTACATTCCGCCGTATCCACTCCAGAATAAAATATGGTTTGGTTATGATAAATTCTCACTACATATCTGGGATTCAAGAAAAACAAATATTACGATGCATCATTTTGACTTTTCAAGAAATTATTGTGATAAACCAGACTCAATTGTTTAATCCAACGTATAATTTAACAATATGTAATATAAGATGATTGGGTCAAAATTAAATCCTTAATGAAGTTACACAGTTCATTTATGTGTGCAAAAGACTAGCTACTAGTTCAGAAAGTTCAGAAAAGTCCAACACAAATGACAGATAATTTGATCATCAAGATTCAGTTCCTTGTCTTACATATGAAAAAGCTTAATTACTTCAAATTTTGATTAGTCTTTGAAAAACAAAGGAAACGCTGAAACTAAACTTTAGGGTATACATTTATAAGTACGCGCGTACGGTGTGCCACTCCACTTCCTAGTATATATATATAATTCCATTTTTTCATGAAGGTTTATAACTCCATAGAGTTATTAAAGGAACGTTTAACATCCACAATTATCTTGGAATAATTCACCCTTGTGACACATGCCATAATTTTCCCTAACAAATCATACCACAGCATCTAAATTGCATGAGCTTCAAATTACTTTTCATCCATAAAACTAATTAAAGTTAAAAAGAGACAATAATGACAAAATTTCTGCAAGCTAATAATATATGATTGAAGGCACATGAAGATAGCTATATTTTATTGATGAGGTAGTAGTAGGTAGGTAAGCTAGCGTCTTCTAGCAGCCGTTTCCCTCTGTGCATTGAAGTAGACAGCAGCAACAGGGAGGCCAAGGTCATTCTCAGCTGAGAATTTGCGTGTGTTGAAGTGATCCCTTGAAGAAGGTGGAGTCGTTATACACTGCCTATGTTTTTGCTTGAACAGGACAAACACATACCTGTGTATCCCTATGTTAGGCTTTGGCACTTCATAGCTCACCAACACATTGCCTATATACATACCCAAAATGAACTATATATTAGATCATCATCATCTGTGTCTGCATTCTTATTCTTTTAGTAGATCATCAAACAAATTAAAGTTACCAAATGAGGCATTTGTGGTGCCTGGAATGTCTGTCACCATCCTGCAAAACCCCACATTTTAACCCATTAATAGCCTAGGCTAAGGCCTCACAATTGCTTTGCACAGTATATAATATATGTACAGTAAAATTATCTAGGTCTTTGGTTATATAACAAGTTAGAACTCTCAAGTCTATCAAGTCTTCAAAATAATGTTTATATTAACATTCAAATATCGTTCTAAAATAATGACTTTTGTTACATTGATTTTAAAATTATTTCAACCAATGTCTACTCCACCAAATCCAGAATTGTACTTTAAAACCTCCATATCTGACATTTTTCCAACTTTACTGGTCCAGAATTTTTCTCTCTCAGAAGTCAGAATTGGTTTGGATTTTAAGTAATTACAGCAGTAATTAACATCATTAATTTTATTCAGCTCGAAAATCAAGCTAACTGCTTAATTAATTTCAAACTGTACCAGTGCAAATGCTCTCTCAGATAAGGATCACTAGGTCCAGGGACATCCGGGTCTGTCATAATCTGCAAAGATAAAAGGAGACATTTATTTCACATGATTAAAATTTTTAAAAACAAATTTTATTTGATGTATACATAATTGAAGTTTTGTAAGATGAGTTACTTTGTATTATTACAGGGAACATTACCTATAATATATGTTTAAAACAACAACACAAATATATAGCTGAAGTTTTTTTTCTTTTCTTCCTTTTATTCTTATTTTCTTTAAAAAAAAGCAAAAGAAACCAATAAGAGGAAAAGGAGATTAAGGGGTTATAGAAAATATATATACCAGTGTAAAGAAGGATCTCATATCACCTCCTCCAATCTCAACCCTTGGCCTTGTGGTGACTGTGGAAGGGAAGAACTCATGGCCATTGTAGACTTGTTGCTTTTTATTGAAAGTTACAGTCATTTTTATGGTTGGGGTGAAAGATTCAAGAACATCTCCTATGACTCTCCCAATAATTAGAGAATCTGTCGACACCCTTGCCATTGTATGAGCAACAAGGAAAAAAGAGGAACAAGACGAGTGCAAACTGAAGAATGTAACTTAATAATATTGATTACTCGTGAAGGGAAATGAGAGTATCAACTACATATTTAGGAAAATAAATGAGAAAAAAGTTACAAGTGCTATGATTATGACTATGGAATGGAGGCACCCTCATACGGAGTAGAAAGATCAAAAGAAAAGAAACGAAGTACAATACAGGGAAGGGAAAGAATCCTCAAAAAAGGAGAGAAGCAAAATATAAGAAAACAGAAACAAAGATAACAAAAAATGCACCCGAAAGAAGTCATAATCATCTCAAAACACTACAGGTAAATAGGCATCCTTAAATATGACATGGGCATTTGACTAACCAAATACATCCATAACTCTTAGAAAACTTGCACACTGACAAAAAGAAAATTAGCTTCCTTGATTTCACATGCAGTATTTTTATTAATCCAGAAAGGACTTTAGATGTAATCATTACCTAATTAGTATATTAGGTCCCTTAAAAGAAGTTTATACTTCGGTGAAATCTTGTGTAAATATCTATATTCTTCCAAACACAGGTAGAAAATCCAATGGCTACAGTGTTGCACAGTCTGCATCCTGTCCCTCGGTGAAGGGAACATGTATCATGATATATTTTCATTTAGTTTCATTTTCCTGATTCTTGCTGATTTTAAAAAATAAAAATTTCAAGGCAAGCACCAAGAAGCATCGAGGTCTGCAGTCTATTATACAGTGAATTATAAAATTGAAAGCAACTTACCTGATAATGAGCAAGAAGATCCAAATATCTACGGATGGGAGATGTAAACTGAACGTAGCCAGGAATCCCCAAAACACCATGGCGTGCAGGCTTCCTGAAATCAATTTCCGCAGCACGCATTATTCTTACCAGTGCAAAGCTCCTAACGGGTCCTTCTGGAAGATGGGAAAATTCAGAAACATTCATATCTGATTGGGGCTGTCCCCTGTATGGTAAAGGAATGTCATTCCGAGACCCGAATGTGGCAATAGCTTCACAACATAGTATCATCATCCCAGAGACTAATCGCATAGCAGGGTCTGCCTGGTTTTCCACATAAAGCTTTATCGATGGCTCTGGATCCTCTGGATTGGACACTTTAAAGCGGGTATCTAATGTTGCTGTCTCAATTGCACCCTGAACAAATGCAGGGAAAGGAAATGTTTACATATTAGAGGCTATAAATTCCCAATAATTTGTTTAATATATATATATATATATATATATATAGGTAATTAATATCTGTGGAAGAAATTTGCTGGATATATGTAGTAGGGTTCTTTTTGACAAAAATACATGTCTTGTTTGTTTTATCTTTTATATATTTATCAGTTTAGTTTTTTAAATTCACATTAATTTTCAATGTTTTTTCTTTCTGGCAAAAGTTTTACGATCATGCATTAACGAGACGTGGATGTTGCTAATTATTATCTCCGATTCTATTTATAGATAAAATTTAGAATAATTGTTTATTTTTATGTGAGATTAAATTTATATTGTTGTATATATTAATTATATTTAAGTTAAAATATCTTTAATTAAAATCTAATATTTTAATTTTATAAAATAAATTAATTATAAAATTTTTAAAAAAACATAATTCTAATAATTAAAAAAAAGTGTATTAATTAGAAGAGATAAATAATATACAACATGTGTTTTTATTGATTAAAAAATATATAAATATTAATTAGAAAAGAAAATAATATAAGGATAATTTTATAAAAAATGTAATAATACAAATTTATTGTTATTAATTAAATTAATTATTTTTAAAATTTAATATATTAGATAATTAAATATTATATATAAGGACCGATGTGATGTAATATAATACAATAAAATATTATAACCACGTGATCTTGAACAAAGAAGACTAGGTTAATGTAAATAGATTTCACTAATTAAATTTATAATTTTATGCAGGACACAAATATATATATATATATATATATATAGGAGAGTTATAATAATACCGTGTAATTTTTATTAAGTATTACACTACTCAATAACTTTATATTAAATGTGAATTTTGTAAATTTAACCGTTAAATTGAAAGTTCTTTACTTTTAGATCATATATACAAAATTTTATATTAATCTAAGATGATTTAATACTTCATTCTTATAAAACAAAATTGACGTAATATATTCATTTTAAAATATACTAAAATATGAACACTTTGATTATCTTCAAATTGTTGTTCAATTTTAACAAAATTTATATACACACATATAAAGTGATATGAAATTTCAATCTAAGGTTGAATTTACAAAATTCACATTTAATATAAAGTTATTAAGCAGTATAATATTTGGCAAAAGTTATACCGATGTACTTATAACCCCTCGTGTATATATATATATATATCATATATATATATATATATATAAGCTTTATTCTTTTTCATTCTATTACTTTTTTTTACCTCTCCAAAAGTCTCACGACTAATGTCCAGATTTTATTTGTTTTGGATGTAGTTTAATAGGATTATATACCATTTTTCCTTGTTATATATATACATTCTAATATTCTCTATTAGATATACTATCAACCATCAAAAGTGGTGAAAAGCATATTTTTACCTTTCACTTTCAACAATAAATAAGAATATCGTCTCTCTAATGCGTTATAGTTTTCTTAAAGGTAAAAATAAATTCATTATTGAATTTGTTTTAATTAGTTGGACAAGATGTTTGATGTTAAATCAATTAATAATAAAACAAAAGTTACAAAAGGTGGTTCATGTTAAGGCTTGGAGATTCGGTGTTTGTAGATTAAAATTTGCAAAAGGTACTTTATTATGAAAGAAAACACGTTAATCAATTTTTTAAATAAAAATTTATTAAAAATCAGAAGGGGAAGAAGTTATAAAATAATAAACTTATTTTTAGTAATTTTACGAAAATTTTTTCATACTTATTAGTAATTTCGTTTTTAATTATTTTTATCATATATAAATAAATATTACTATAATAACACTAGAATTTAAATTTAAAATATTTTATATATTATTTCAATCTCTTATCATCATGCAAATTTTAATAGTTTTTTTTCTTCTCATTTTTAATGATGTTACAAGTAAGAGTTTTTTTTAATCATTATTAAAATGAAAGTTGGAAGAAGCGAGTTAAATGAGAAACTTCTGAGAATGAACATAAGTACGGAACCAGTGCTGATCATGACCATGGGAATTTCGTTATTAGTACACAGACTTTCAAGAATTCTGAAAATTATGCAGATATTAAATTATTAATAAATATAACTAAAGTATTCAAATGTTTTACATTTTTCTTGTACGAATTTAAGAAATTATTTATAAATAAATACTAAAAAAATATAAATTAAAGAGTAAAAATATAATATGCTAATAATTAACTTAATTAATAATGATTATTCACAATAATTACGGATTATTCTTTTATCAATATTATAATCCCTTTTAAAAATAAATTTATACTAAACAATGTATACCAATGCTAGTGTATTGTATCATCATATTGAATAGTATAAAGTATAAACCTATAAAATCTAGACAAACAATTTTTGTTTTTTAAAACAAAAGTTGTACTAACAAAAGTAGCAGTATTGCTTATTTCTAAGTAACTGATGATTTTTTCTATAGTATATATTTTATCATCATTAATATCAGCGTATGCTTTTGTGAAATATTTTTAAAATAATAAATAATAAAAATTGATTAGTAAAAATACATGTGATCATAAAGTAAAATTTATAATAAAAAAAATAGTTATAAAATTAAATTTGAACTTGTACACTAAAATGTTCAATTTCTCTTATTATAATTATAGATTAAATGAAAGCATTTTGAATTTAATATATTAGTTTGATAAATAAAAAAAATTACGTAAGATTATGGGATGTGTCGTCACTTTAAACTTATTGTTAGTTTGACCCATTTGGAGATTTCGACAAGCGTCTCGCGGGTATTTATGCCCAAATCATTTCCCTTTTGTTAAATTTTTCTTACCTTACACGTGTAAGAATTATATAAGAAAACTAAAATGGGACACTAGTTTCACTCAAATCTGACTGGGAAACCTAATACCCAGTGAAAACTACAATCTTTTAAATTATTCTTTTTATTAAATTTAAAATATACATTTTTATAGAGGTATTTATGAGTTACGTTTTAATTTTTAATATAAATAAATATATAAAGTTGGAAATAATTATAAAGTTTTTCTATAATTTATTTTAGTTTTACAGTAGTTATATATAGCATCATTTCTTACTAATTTTGAATACTTTGTTATCAATTTTGAAAGTGTATTAAAATTGTTATCTTACTTTCTAAGCTTATAAAATGATATAGATGTTAAAAAACATATTATTATTAGTTTTACACTAGTACATTTTGGTTGGTATATGAAATAAGAAGTAAAGAAATAAAAAAAAAAATGAGACAAGTGAGAACTTACCACCTAATCGGATGAATAAGAAAGACAATAAAAATATAGAATTTTATAATTTGATTTAATAAAAGTTAAGACTTTTTATCATAATATTTTTCAATTAAATTATTAATATTTCATATATATATATATCACTCCCTCCTCAATTAAACACACCATAACAGAGGGAGAAAAATTATTTATATATATTAAAAGAAATTCAAATAAAAAATATTCATCTTAAAAACATATGTATATTTTAAAATAAAAGAGAAGAAGATCATATAATTTTAACATCTCTTTAACAGTTTTTTCTTCTTCTAACAAATGTAATACAGTAGGTAATACATTTTCATGAGCCATAAAAACCACTTAAAAATAATAAATATATTTATATGTTTTTAACTTTACTTAAGATGAAAAACCAAAGTCTTTGTCAATATAGTTGAAAACACGTTCACTTTAAACAAAACATTTTAGTTATTGATGATAGAATACTTTTAATTTAATAAATATCATTTCATATTACAATAAAACATTGATTTTTACTATTTAAATATTAGAGAAATGAAAATACTTATATCTTTAATAGTTATATAGAAAGTAATATTAT